GAAGGTTTTTGGCTAGTAATAAAACACATTTGTCGATGTCTCAGAATTGATCAATTTCAATGTAACTTTGTTTAAAATTTATCTTGAAGTGGCTCGTTAGTGAAGCTCAGATGACCAGAATAATAAGAATAAGCAACAAGGAACTCTGGTTGGCTTGCAACGAACCAACCAAGAACCTAACATCCAACAAATATGTAAAAGGAGGTGGAGATGGATTGGGTATGCACTGAGAAGACCGACTGGGGTCATCACGCTTCAGGCACTCAAGTAGAACCCAGATGGGAAGCGACGAGTTGGGCGTCGGAGGCGTGGGTGACATGGAGGAGATCGTGTGAGGAAGAAATGAGTGGTTGTGGTCTGTCGTGGAACCAGGTTCAAAAGTTTGCAGAGAACAGAGTGCACTGGAGACGTGCTAGTGAATCCCTATGTTCCATTGAGAACTCAAGGGATAAATAATAATAACAGATACAGTTTTTAAGGCCTAACAGGAAAACATACATTGTTATCAAGTGCATTCAGATGATGGGTGCTGGGTAGGACGAAACATTCATTGAGGATTCACCAGTAACAATCAATAACAAAAATCACTTCAAGAATATACAAAGAAGCACTGCGAAGTGCGATCAATCAAGGAGTCCATGTCCAGTGATAAGTCTGAGCATTCAACCCATTAAAAGGGGTTGATCAAAACTGGAAAGCATAGATGTGAAGGCCTGTTATGTCAAGAAGTTTAAACTTGGAAACAAACAACTTAGTTTATACCTGCAATTTCTTATTGTAATACTGGAACTAGTCAGTCTACCTCTCCTAATACATGGGCTCCGTTGTGAACGTTTCGATACTAGATAAAGATCTATTTTGTTATAATACGCTCGGTGGTGGCTAGGAGTGGACTGCAGGGCATAGATTTCGTCCTCACTAGGACTCGTCAGCTGGATACACTTAGAAATTTGCAAGAATTCCTTATTTTCTGGTGATGTTCCATATCGAAGATACTCATCAGAGATATCTTTGCATTCTACAATATTTGAACATCACGGGAAATTTAAAAAAAGTTTAATGCAACATAAATTTGAAGATACTTAATGTATTTTACAGACACTTGGTGCATTAGAAACTTTGACTGAACCTCAAGAGAAAAAAATGTCATTCAGTTCTAATCATCTTAATAATGTAGTTGTGATAATGACCATTCCTTACATATTGTAATCATCAATACTCTATAATATGATATGAAACAGATGGATAGCATGAAAATTGTTCCCAACATGAACAAGCACTGAGTAATGAAACATTAAAAAAACTGCAAGACATTGAAAAAGCTGAAACTTTTCTTACGTAGAAAGAGACAACAACAACTGAGAATGGCTGTTTCCTTTTTAAATCGAATACTTAAAGTTATTATGCTGTGGATATTACTGCTGAGTTAATTTTTTTTCTGATGATGCTTTAGAGGAAGAATCCACCACCATACGTTACGTGCTCACTAGGAATGGCTGTCCAACAAACTTTATGGCTGAATATATCCATGGTATGAAGGTGAAAACGGGAATGTTACCAGTCCCTAAAAAGGACATTTTTTGGAAAGTGGGATTCAAGAGTGACCATCTTGGTGAGATTATCAATCAACGTATAAGCTAGCATAACAAAGATCATTCCTAACCTCTAAATTATGCCCCTTTGTCTACAACGACTCCATGCTAGATCCTGTAAGTAAAAAGAAACTACTTGATTCTGCCACTTTCATGTAGGTTTATCAGTTCATTTACCAAATGGACTACACGTTCGTCTATTTCACGCAGTAGATATGATTGTAATCCATCTTTGCAAACCTATCCTTTAGGTTCAAAAGAAATTTGTACAATCACTCGCATTACTGTGGCCATCAGTATGATGTAACTTTTAGTACTATGTTTAATAACTCTTGCCCTTCTTCTTCTGTCAGTATTCATTTACTTCCTTAATATTTACGTGACTATTATTGATTGTTTATGCTTGACCATTCCCTGTCCATTCACTTAACCGTTTACCGTGCAATTTGCATAGGAATAACTTGTTTCACATTATTATAATTTATAATTACTACCTAATTATAGTCCATTAACTCTCATCACTTGATTGGTATTGTGATATATTCTGTACGATCGTAAAGATCACTTTCTGTACCAAAACTTGGATATTAACCTGAAAACTTAATGTCAGTTAGGTTCATACTCTTGAAAAGGATCTTCTGAGCAAGATTGAAACCTTATGGAATAATGTTATTGCTTGTATTATATCATCGTTGATTAGACCGAATTGATCGGTCTCTATTAGCATATGGGTTGCTGCTCAGATATCTCGTTATGGCCTGTATTTTTAATTACATATAACCTCGCCTGGTTAACTAGTTCACTAGTTACTAGCCAGTCCTAAGCCCGGGTAAATAGGGAAGGTTGGGCATAAGGCTAGCAACCCTACCCCGTAAAACAAATCTAACCGCTAAACAAACTTCAAAGCACAAACGATATATAAAAAATAAAAACAAACTTATTCTCCGCTGGAATCGGAGAGGCGAAATGATGCCAGTTGGTGAAAGCCTGCCCTCCGGAAGCCAATTGGCCGATGTGTCTTCTCTCGATGAAAGCGAAAGTAAACGTGGGGACATGGAATGTCCGTACGATGTTTGAACCCAGCAAGGCAGCCCAGATTGCAAAAGAGATGAGAAGGTATCACATTGAAGTGCTTGGAATTTGGGAAGCTCAGTGATGCTTTTGAAGTGAAGTGAAGACAGGAGTGAAACAAGGTTGCTTACTATCCCCCATGATATTCCTGATTGTGGTCGACTGGATCATGCAGCAGACAACAGTGAAAAGCGAGAAGAGGGGGATACGCTGTTTGACCGTGAAAAAGAACCTAGAAGATCTGGATTTCACGGATGACTTGTGTCTGATGTCTCAAAAACTGGAAGACCTACAGGCGAAAACTAACAAGTTGACAGAAGAGGCAGCGAAGACGGGACTTCAAGTGAATATAGAGAAGACAGAGGTGATGAAGATACCGCACCAACAACTCCACCACCAACAACAACAAACTCCAGTCGCCATCAATGGGAGTAACCTCCTTCACCTATCTAGGAAGAACTGTTTCAACTACAGGCGGTGGTGGCACAGACGAGGATGTCAAAGTCAGCCAGGATCGGAAAAGCAAGACAGGCATTCATTAGTCTGAATCCAGTGTGGAGATCTTCTGCACTCAGCATGCGGAACAAGATCCGGATTTTCAACACCAACGTCAGTCAAGTCAGTGCTTGTGTATGGTTCAGAGACTTGGTGCGTTACGAAAGGGATTTCCAACAAACTTCAGACATTCATCAACAACTGTTTACGCTCACCTGATACTGAAGATCAGATGGCCAGAAAGGATAAGCAACAGGGAGCTGTGGGAACGAACCAACCAAGAACCTATCACTCAACAAATATGTAGAAGGAAGTGGAGATGGATTGGGTATACACTGAGAAAGCCGAATGGGGAGATCACGCATCAGGCCAGGCCCTCGAGTGGAATCCCCATGGGAAGCGACGAGTTGGACGTCCGAGATGAGGGTGACATGGAGGAGGTCGTGTGAGGACGAAATGAGAGGTTGTGGGCTGTCGTGGAGCCAGGTTCAAAAGATTTTGGAGGACAGAGTTCACTGGAGACGTGCTACTGAATCCCTATGTTCCATTAGGAACCCAAGAGACTAATAATAATAATAATAATAATAATAATAATAATAATAACAATAATGGGGAGTGGTTAGCAGTGGAATTCAGGAAGCGTAGTTTGTCCTATCCATCAATACCATTTGAGGAATAGTGCATAAACTATTTATTCTAATATGATTAACCAGGATAACACAAATAAAATACACCTTATACGATGAATGTCAACCTTGAGACTTACGTAGAGTCAGAGACGAAAACCTAACGGAAAAGGAATATACTTCTACTTCCAATCAGTCTCTTTTCATAAGTTTCAGTGAAACATTACTTCCTGCAGAATACCTCCAACCAACTCAGATGTATCAAGGAACATCAAATTGCTGGGTCTCTTAACATGATGAAGAAATTTTAAAAATTATGGATAGAGTCGGCGATACATACCTCCTGTTACCCTTTTCCATATAAAAGTCAAGAAAACTTGATTAAAAGGCAAGAAGTTAAGAGAACAATATGCTTTATACTTTATTTAAGCGATTCATTCACTGAATTCCCCATGATATATCATAACTCTTCTTTTGAGATAGTATTCCAAGTTGTTATTCATCGTAGACTGACATCAATTGAAGAGGAACATAAGAAACCTGGGAGCACTGGACAGCTGTTTCGTCCTAGTGTAGGACTCCTCAGCAGTGCGTACCCACGACCCTGCCCTCCACGGATCGAAGCCACAACCTTCAGGTTCATATTTCCAACTTCTGTTAGCTCACGATCATCTCCAACTGATGTCAGTCAACGATGAATAACAACTTGAAATATTTCTAAATCCCACAACTCCCTCAAAATTTGAGATAGTATTCATTAAGGACTGATATTAGTTAGAGAACTATTGAAAACCTCAGAGCACTGAACATCCTAGTATGCGATTCTTCAACAGTGCACACTCATGATCGAGTTAGGAGTCGAACTTAAGACTTTCAGGTTTCATTTTTATTTTTTTGTCAATATATTTTATGTCCTTTCTCTTAAAGAACCAATTTATTTGTTTTGTTAAGGTCATATTTCAATTAAATAATAGAATGTATTAAATCACGTGAGTTAATATAGTAGTATATAGACAGCACATTATCCTTCAATGTATAATTTACTATCCAATGATAATTAGAAAACATTTTCTGATAATGTGCAATTTTAAGCATTTGTACATATGTACGTGTAGGTGTCGATGTATATATATATATATATATATATATATATATATATATATATATATATATGCGTGTGTGTACACGTTTTCTCAAGTTAGGTACATATATAGTTCTTAGTAATGCCATATATATTACTACTATGAATAATACAACTACTAAGAATAGTAACATAACTCTTAAACTAGTATATCTTACTTATTGATTTTGTGAAGTTCAATGTTTCAATTGTTCAATTATCAATTTTTTATAATCCATTTTCAAATATTCTCTGATCAAGTTCTCATGTATTCAATGATACGTTTACTATGCATACTGATTATATTTCTATTACATATGATTGTTTTAATTGATAGTGAATTATTAAATCATAAAAAAGCGGTAATACGTATTATAAGAAATTTAAAATATTCTAATCATGAATCAAGTATTACGCATAATTTATTACAGAGTCAACATTATCAGTGTATACCAATGTTTAAAGATATACATGAATTAACTAGAAAATCGGAATTAATCATTGCTGGACGTTTAAAATATCATGATAAGAATGTGAATTATAATCAAGTAAACAATAATTACTACTTTAATATAACAGTAATAATAACTATAAGATATAAAACTGATTATCCAATTGATAATCAAATTACTATTGGCCCAATTTTTATACCAAATGATAAACATAAAAGTGGTAAAGGTTGTTTATCTGTATTCTATGGAAATGCAAAATATATATTTTTCTTAAAAAAATATCCTGATTATTCAAATTATTATGAACCATTATGTGAAGCAATTGAATATTCTGAATATACAGAAAAAAAGATTTATACACATTATTGTCCAAATTGTGGTAAGTTGTATAAGTTTTGAGGGAGTTGTAGAGATTTTGGAACTATTTCAAGTTGTTATTCATCGTAGACTGACATCAATTGAAGAGGAACAAAGGAAACCTGGGAGTACTGGACAGCTGTTTCGTCCTACTATGGGACTCTTCAGCAGTGCGCACCCATGACCCCACCAGCTAACAGAAGTTGGAAATATGGAGTATTGGATTCTGACCTAGTGGCTAGCTCAATGATAACGCGCTGGCCGTGGAACCTGAAGGTCGCGGGTTCGATCCCTGCTGGTGTGGGGTCGTGGGTGCGCACTGCTGAGGAGTCCCACACTAGGACGAAACAGCTGTCCAGTGCTCCCAGGTTTCCTTTGTTCCTCCAACTGGTGTCAATCTACGATGAATAACAACTTGAACTAATATAAGTGTATAACTTGGGCACTGTGGTCGAGTTTAATTCCATTCTAGTATGTTTATTAGAAATATCACACAGTGAAACAGTAGCATTTATGAATATGGACAATAAATTATGTCCGAAACGTTATCCAGTAAATGTTACTGTTTCACTATGTGATATTTCTAATAAACAGACTAAAATGAATTAAGTTGTATTACTTTTCTGAATGATTACTTTATTTATTCATAATTTGAAAGGATTATTTGATGTTAACCATTTTTCTGAAGAATCATTTACAAATCTACAAACAAGTGGTATTTATTTCGTTCTTGTTCTGAACTCATTAACCTTTACACTCTTACGATATATAGTAGGATTGATTCTAGGATTGTTTCGGATGAACAATACAGATGACTTCAAGCTAAGATTAGACATATACTCAGTAACTCTTCAACTGATACGAAGAAGTAGCATCTATGCGTTTTAATGGTTGATGTCCTTGGTAGAAGTACTTAAGACTGTTACGAAAGACTCTTAATCGACAAGAAACTGGTTTTTTTGGAATGACTCAATCTACCACCCACTTAGCAGATATTTAGTATTACTACCTGACCGATTAAAATTGTTGATTTCCATGTTATCGTACATCAACTGGTGTTTCATTTCGTGCTATATACGTATTACTATTCTCCTGTTTTGTACCCCAGTGTATATGCAATCACGTGTGTGAAATGACCAGCTAATGAGTTCTTCTGATTTAGAAGTGTACATCAATATTCATTGTCTAAATACCTAAGCCTTTGCAAGAACTGCCGCGGAATCATGCTCCTGTCCACCTAAAGCAAAATATTATGCCACATCATCCTGGAGAGACTAAAGAATGCGCTGGATTAAAGATCACAACCGGAACAGTCTGGATGGCTATCTTCTAAAAGAACAAATTATATGCGGATCACATTACAACGATATGCTACTCATCATCATAGAACAGAGTATAGAATGGTAGTCAACTCAACTCTATCTTAACTTCACCGACTTTGAAAAAGCCTTCGACAGCGTCGATCAAGAAGCATTTTGGCCGGCAGCTACTTCAACACTACGGTTTTATTGCCATAAACCTTTGTCAACCTCATTCAACATCTGTATAAAAACGCCACATGCCAAGTGATCCACAATGGAAAGCTCAGCGACGCCTTTAAAGTGAAGACAGGAGTTAGACAAGGCTGTCTACTATCACCGATGATCTTCCTGATTGTGGTCGACTGGATCATACAGCAAACCGTGAGGAGCGAGAAGACGGACATACGCTGGACCGACAAACGCAGCCTCGGTGATTTGGATTTCGTCAATCATGATTTATGTCCAATGTCGCACAAACTTGAAGATCTAAAGGCGAAAACTAACAAGCTGACAGAAGAGGCAGGTCAAGTGATTATAGAGAAGACAGAGGTGATGAAGATACACAACAACAAGCTGCAATCACCATTAACGGGAGAAACCTAAAAAACGTAGTCTCTTTCCACATCCTTCCTAGGCAGCATCGTTTCCATTACAGGCGGCACAGACGACAATGTCAAAACCAGGATTGGAAAACCAAGACAGGCTTTTGTTAGCTTGAGACCAGTGTGGAGATCTACTGCACTCGGCATAAAGCGTGGACATGATCCGGATTTTCAACACCAATTCAGTCAGGCCACTTCTTCTATATGATTCAGAAACTTGTCGCTTTACGAAAGGCATTTTTAACAAACTACAGACATTCATCAACAGCCACTGCATACACTCACTTGATACTGAAAATGGGATGACCAGAAAGAATAAGCATCAAAGATTTCTGGGAACGAACCAACCAATAGCCTATCACCCAAAAATATGCAGAAAGAAGTGGAGATGGATTGGACATACACTGAGAAGGCTAACTGAAGACATCACGCGTTAGGCCAGGCCGTCGAGTGGAATCCATAGGGGAAACGATGAGTTCTGCGTCCAAGGTGAGGGTGACATGGAGGAGATTGTATGAGGAAGAAATGAAAGCCTATAGGCAGTCGTAGAGCGTGGTTGAAAAGACTGTAGAGAAGAGAGTGCAATGGAGCTGTGCTACTGAAGGCATATGTTCCACTGGGAACCCAAGGGAAATATAATAAAGGATTTAACAAGAGACCTCTCAGTTTCATACTTTCTTCCAAGTTTCATAGTTAATTTGATATATTTCTGGATAATAAATTGTGTTCGGAACGTACTCCAATAAATAATACTGTTCCTTCACTGTTTGATATACCTAATAAATCAACTAAGATGTATTTATATTCTACCACATTGCCTTCAAGTATCACTTCTATATTGGCAGAGATTAGTATTAAAAAACTAGAACAGCCTAATTGGATACTTCTAATTGGTACAATTTTCTAATAATAATAATAATAATTTTCAAACTGAACAAACATGACGAAATTCATTGTGGTTCTCAGAGGATATTTTCATCTACCCACGAAGCTTATTTAAAGTTTCCTCAACATAAATTTATGTTGTCGCTTATATTGTCCATTACACAAGAAATGCTTATCGGGACTCAGTGGAGTAGTGGATAATGACTCTTAGGCGTTTGAAGTAATTGGTCCTTGGTTCAAATGTTAGTATGGACAACACTTACTTGGAGACAGGTGCAAAGTAAGAGAAGATGCGCATCCTAGACTCAACTGCTAGATACTAAGTAAACTACAACATAGTAAGTATTCAGACAATATCGAGACATCCACAAAGAAGTCCATCTGTAAACAGAGGTCAACCGACTCAAACCAGTATAACACCGTGAGATCATTCGTGTCTACTAACAATACTATTTATCAGATATACTTCATATGTAAGGCTATGTTTCTGATAGTTTGAGTGGAGGAGGGCAACAGGTGGCAAACCAGAGAACTGAAATATGTCGTATTACCGAATTCTCACGTTCGAAGCTTTAGATCAGGAGTTTCACAACGATTTCCTAGAAAACTGACATTCTCTCATCGATAAGAAGTGGCCTGTTTTTAACAACTGTTATACTTAAGCTGTCAGTGATTCCTTTCAAGGTCGAAATATATACACCAATCAATCACTGAATAGTAATCGACGCAGTTGTCACATTCTACGTGTTCATTGTTGGACGAAGTTGTCCGAGTTTCCTTAAAATCTCTTGTACACTCCGCTAATGTACTGATAACACTTTGGCGTTTGAAATGATAGTTACAGGGTTTAAGTCTAAATGAGAACAGAGTCACCCAGTGGAGTGTTGGCATATCCTACTGACGAGTGTAAAATAGGAGAAATCATAAGTCCTGGATTCCACCAATACCCACCTAGCAGATTCCATTAAGTCAAATTACCTAATGCATAGTTTAGCTGTGTATCACATTGAAAACTACTGACTCATTCAAACATATTCTTGGTACAATGAAATATCTTTTTCACCCTACAAATAATGTTCATCTAGACACAGAACATATAAAAGTTGGTGATGAAGAAAATCTTCGGTTTCAAAAGTCGTTTAATTGATTCATATAGATAAGCTTCCCTGACAAAATCGCGCTTACGAAAGTTTATCTCGATGCTAATCATTTCTTCAACTGCATGATGTTTTAGACTTTATTATTTGTTAGTATTTAGTTCATTTGTAATGAATTCACATACTATCCAACTCGGCATATTTTATGAATATCGTGTGTTGAGTTTAGAGCTATTATAACTCCAAAGTCAAACGAATAACCCTCTGACATTTGAAACAATGGATTCCAGGACTTAGTCACAGTGGAAACAATATCATCCACTGAATTGTAGGTACATACACAGTTGACGAGTCCTATGTGGGAAGAAACACGCACTGTGATTTCTCCTCTTAGCTATTATTCATCATTAAAAGGGTATATTGAGAAATAGTTTATCTTCCAGTCCATGCTTCTTGTGTTTATCACTTGAATATTCATTCTAAAATACATCTCTGTGAAGTTCAAGTGAAAGCTTGTACATACACTAAACAACAATCCAGTAACTTATAAGAAAGTCACTTCAGTATTGGGGTGTTTCAAGATTCATTGATTCCAAAGTGGTATTCATTGTGGCCTAGGACCAGTTAGATAATAACTGAAGACCTAGTAAAGAACTCCTGAGAAAGAGTCCTATATTAGGACGGACCAGCTGTCTAGTGCTCCCAGGCTTTCAGTGGTTTTCTAATCAGTGTCAGCCAGAGATGATTACTACCCTGAAAGGAGTATTTGTCTTCGTAAGCAAAAAATGAACCAATCGGTAGACTATATAAGTCTGATCGCGTCACCAAACGATGGTTTCGCGGTAAGTTATTTAGTATGTTATGCTATTTAACAACATATAGCTGACCAGCTAACACTATTTCAAGACCTGTAATTATGATAATAAGAGAATAGAATCAAGAAAGAGTGACGTACCTGATCCTGTTCTCGTTAAGCAAATGAAATTTACCAAGGTAGGTGTAGTGTAAGGAGAAATTGTTTGTGCATGACTGTCGCTTGCACAAGCCTAACTGTGCGTCTGAAGCCGTTTATATATAATACTTTGACATTAATTTTGTAACCTGTCTCTATGATATGTTTAGCTATAGATGAAGAGG